GCGCCGGCGGAGACGTCGTAGATCGTGGATTTGACTGAGACGTAGATTGGCTTGCTAGGGTTTGATCCGTTGAATTCTTGAAGTTGTTGAGAGGTGAGCTCCATTTTTTTTTTTTAATTATTAATTAATGGAGAGAGAGAGTGAGCGAGTGGGAGAGAAGGAAAGGGGTGTTGGGAGGATAAAAGGGGAATAATTTGGTGAGATGATGAGTCGGTAACTTTGCAAATATGGGCCTCGCTTATTTTTCATCTGTCTTGATAGGTCTTAGTAGAGCGTCTTTTTAGGGTTATTTGCACGTATAGCCCAAACTCATGGGTATTGGCGAAACTCTCCAAATCTTAGGCTTTGCAAAACTACCCTTCAAACTTCAATTTTGTGAAAAGACCTCACTAAAATCAACAAATCGTCAACTTAGTGCTAAACTTTTAAATTTTTATACTGTGATTACAGACTGGCTTATCAAAGTTGATGATTAATTGTTTTGATGGTAATTTCCTCCGAAATTAATGATTCGAGGGGTAGGCTTGCAAATAGTGAGTTCTGGAAGGTAATTTCATAAATGCGCATGATTTAAGGGTATATATATATGCAAATAACCCCTTTTTCAGTTAACAGATTTCTTTTTTTTTTAATAAAATAATCGAACCCAAAACTTCATATTAGACCCTCCCGACCATCCGGGGTGACCACGGATCCCTTAGCTAATAGATTTTAGTATAACATACGGTTGCTATTTTGATAAAATTCTTCGTAAGCTCGGTACGAACTCAATCTAGACAGTGGCCTATAATTAAATAGACGACCATCCATTAAAAATTGGATGGTGCCTTCCTCCATAAACTCTTTTCAATCTTTATTATGGATGCCAGACTTCCAATTCGCAGGCAGCATTTAACACCTGAGTAGATTTTTTTTTTTTTACTTCATCCTCTCTCATGATTCTTCTGGTAAATCGAATTGCACAACATATCACATTAAAGGATAGTAAACTCCTCGTTCATACCGAGCTCACCAAAACAAGCATGACAGCAAAAGATCTCCATTTACTCCTGCCTTGAAGATAATTTTCAACGTACCGTTTTATGTACTGATGTACATCGCGAAACTCGCGAAACCTGTGCATCTTGTTTCCCCCGCTCGTGTACATCGTAAAGTTTGATCGCATCTTCACGGTATTCTCTTGCGCCTTCATCTGTTCATGTATATAAAACTTGTACTACGTTCATATATAGCTTCAATGTAAATGCAAATTTTACCCAATAGGCCGTAAACTAACAAGAAGGCAGTAGCCACTGTGTAATGAAATTGATAAGAGAACCAAAATTTCAAAAGTTTTTGACGTCAAGTTGCACATGAAAGTTGAGGCACAAGAGCATTTCTTTGCCTGACCAACTCGTCGAGGTCATGAACAATTTTGAACACAGCATCTGGCCTTGCTTGCTTCAAACAGTTCTGAGACATAATTTTGAGCTCATCTGCTTTTGGACCAAACCATTCCGCAACTATTTTTGCAATCTCTTTTGGTGATTTTGAAAATCTTCCACATCCATTTTCTACAACGTAAGGTACATTGCCAACTTCCTGCAGTATTATACAGATTATACATCATTAGCAAGAAATATGATACTAATAAAGTAAATAGAAACCACAATTTGATGGTAATAAAGTATGTGCAAAAAAGCAAACACGCATGGAAAGGGGGGAAACATTCTGATCATACAGAACTACTCAATACTTTATAGAAGTAATCATCAATCTACAATCATGTAGCTTTGGAGATGGTTAGCTCTATTGCAACATACCATGTTTATTTTCAACATCATGGCCCAAGAAGTAAATATCTTTTCAATTAAGTTATAAACTGTTTAAGGGACAGGAAAAAAGTTGAAGGTTCCATGTTGCAACAGCAGCAGCAGCAACAACAAGCTTTATCCCAAAAAATTTAGGTCGGTACATGAACACTATGCTTCCTTCCAGTTCCATTAAAGGCCCTTCGAATAGTAGGGAACATTTTCAGTAAAATCGCAGTAATCGACCAGTTTGCATTACATCTACTACTAAATTTTTGAAAGAATTCAGATATTTTAAATGATCAAAATTTGGGATTCACAATCTGAACAACTCCGGTACTAAATATTGAGTATCTGAATGATGAAATTATCTGCACCCATGGCCGTGAGACAATGCACATATTCACAACATATAGAACCAAGATAGCAATGAGTGGAAAAAATTTGAGCCCATCATAAATATGACTTTATTTACAAGACACCATAAAGGCACAATAGTAAAAACCCAAATTGGCTTTGTGTATATTTTATCAATTGGCATGTTCAAAAATCATGGTTTAGCACGGTCAAAATTACTGCTTTTTTAGCAGGTAATGGATTGTGTATGAGCCTGAGAGCTCTTCAACAGATGGTTCTCACCTAAGAACAGTGCTTCAAGTTAAGCATAAAAAAAAGGCAAATGTTCTGAAACTTCAGTAAGTGAGACCCTTGACGATAATAACTATAACAAAATAGAAAAATATATAGCTAAATGTGCTGCATACGTGCATATAAAAAAGTACACAAGTGTTTTAACATGAATTACTAATTTCCAGGTCCAGTTGCTGGGGCATTTGTGCCCACCCATCTACAATATCAAATTCAAGGCTAACTTGCTTGTCCAGAGAGTGTCCACCTTCTATGGTGTTGATATTTTGATTACCTAGTAACTTGGGCTTTAAAGATAAATTATCCATATCAACTTGTTTGATTGATTGTGGTTTCATGTGTCATTTTACTTATACAACAGATATGAGAAGTGCTATAAAGTCGCACCCTCTATTTAACTTCAGCAGCTCAGAACAAAAGCAAACTCAATATGAAGACGATAATAAGGCAAACTCAATATGAAGACCATAGTAAGGTGCATGCCAAAGAGTGCCAGATTTTCAATTAAGAAATGATAGAAGTGATATGGCTGGTCTGGTTTTGGTTTGGGGAGTTCTCATCACAACTAAGTTTATTTGTGTGCGTGCGCATGTGCGTGTTTCATTTTAGTTCTCGAAAATTTCTGTTTCTTTCCATCTGTCAACAAGTTTTCAATTGATCACAATTAATAGTTTGTAAATGTTTCAAAATATCAAGTTTCATATTTCACAAGTCATGTTCTTGCACACTTACAATTTGTTCCAACCTACAACAATAACATAAAAATAAGAAAGGCCTCATCCTAAATTTTAAAGATGCCTAAGAATTTCCTCCCATCTATTTGGAAGGGCAAAAAAAAAGGCCTATACATAACCTTTCAACAAACCTATACATAACCATTCAACATCGTAATATCAGAAAACAAGTATCTCATGTGAAACAACATCCAACTCAAAGGCAGGCTCTAATTAGTTTGAAGACGTAAGCTGCAAGAGCAGCCTATCAAGCCATATATACCTTAACCTTGCCAAGATATGTTTTTACTCAGAATAAATGCAAATCAAAAGGTAATTAGACAAGAGAAAAGCCATGTTCAAATTAAATCAAGAGGAGTTCTAAAGGAAATACCATACAGCTTATAAATCACTTATCTAACTAATACAAAACGAAATTTGCAGGTTTTGTTCTTTGTTTACTATTAGTATTGCCTAATGCTTAATAGATCATGAAATCAGCCATATCCAAGCAGAATATTTCAACTTCATGAAAGCACATGGATTCAATTTGATGTGATTTGTGGAACTCACTTGAGCATTCAAAGACATGTTAATTAGAGAAAAGGCATAAAAATGGTACCTGGCCTGCAATATAATCATTTAGAATAATGGGGAGACCACGAATCATGGCTTCTGCAATAGTCCCCGGACCTGCCTGCAGATTAAACAACATACATTTTTATATTTAACATGTGCTGAACTGCACAAAAGAAGACTTTCTATTAGAGAACTTACCTTAGTAATAATGCAGTCGCAAGCACCCATACATTCTTCCATTTTAGTAACAAAACCCTTCACCTGGATATTAAGAAGAAAATCTGCTCAGAAACAGAAAGAATCCTCACAGATAAAAAGATTCTGGTGAAGAACTGAAAGAAATAGGGGTGAGCACAGTTCGGCCGACACCAAAATCACCGATAGAACTGCCCGAACTTTGGCAGTTCGGTTCGGTGTAGAATGTAATTTTGGTCGGGTCGGGTTGAGGAAATCACAGACCAAACTGTCCGCACCCGACCAAATATCCTTTGCAAACTTTTACACAAACGTGTTCGACCTTTAATTGCCACTATCAGTGGTAGGGTCACTAGGCGAGATTTTACTTTTCTTGGAAATGACAGTTGACAGTGAGTATGTCTAAGAATTTTCTATTTAATTGAAAGATCTAATTTAGTGGCATAGGATTAATATTTGGGATTGAGTGAGGGTGACAACTAGGAGAGGTTAAGGTGCACGCAACACCTATTGACAGATGTATATAGCACAGTTTAGGCATAGGGACTAGGGACGATTTTAACAAGTAAATTAGAGTTTTATTGATTTGTAGACTTTTGCCTCTTCCAAATGACTGTTGACTTGATTCATCTTGTCACGAGCGCATATTGTTTGGTCAGTTGATGTCTGCTGACATAATATTCAAGGTAACCAATCAAACCTCACTGCAGTAACCGAACCTATTGTTCCGTTCTGAGAAGCAATTGATGCAGTTTCGGTCTGGAAAATTTTGGCAAAAAGCCGACCGACCGACCGAGTGCTCACCCCTTGGGATAAACAATGCCTTTCACCTAGAAATCAATTAATCATCAGAGGTAGTAGCATCACTAAGGAAACTATACATTGACTACAAAAAAAAATGGCCAAGTTGCACAGAACTAGTCGCAGTATGTTTCATATACAATATGTCCTATAACAACTTTCCACATATGATAACCTACTCCATGCTTTATTCTTCCTTTTTCTTGTTTTGCAATATTTGTAGATGAACAAGGCCTTAATGGAGAACCACAAATCCAAAGACTGGACACAATATAACTTTATCAAGAATAAAGCAATAGAAAATTTAAACATATCAACCAACATTTATCTAGTATGAACCTCGAAATGTATAAATGTCAATAAAGTATCCTAAGAAAAGTAGAATACCTGCACAGGGATCTTCCAGTCAATTGCAAGCAGTCTATTAGCAAGCTTTTTATTCCGGCCACATATGACAAGTATCTGACCTATAGGACCTCCAAAATACTCATCATATAATAAGTTGCCGAGTGCACGTGCTGTGGCTTCAATAGGACCCATGCCTTCCCCTCCTCCCATCAGCAAAACAGCCGGTAAATGTTCATCCATCCCTAACTCCCTTCTTAACTCATCCTACTTACAGATGGAAATAAGCAACTGAAGGACCAGATTAAAGAGGATATCTATAAAATTGAACATAGAGAAAAATATTATCATACGGTTTTTTCCAGATATTAGTCCCTTTAAATCATTCATATTTTGAGACTAGTCCCTCAAATCATTGGAATTGCTATCAGGTCGCCCAAATCATACGTTATTTTGAAATTGGATTCTTTCGATATTAGTCTCCTAGATCTTTAGTATATCGATATTAGTTCCCCAAGTCATTGCATTTGATAATAGTCTCTCAAATCATCTTTAAATGTTAATATTAGTCTCTCTAGTTAGTTGGTGTTAAGATGGTGAGTGAAGATTCCATTTTCTTTATGTTTTTTCTTTCCTTCAGTTTAAATACCCAAAGCCACAATGGTTTAAACTTGTACCAGTTAAGACTCCCCAAACCCAAACCCGTTTAATTAAAACCAAACCCATCTCATTCATCTTCTTCCCCAACAGTCCCCTCTCCATCCCAGGGTTTGAGTTAGGGTTTGACGTCAAAAGTTGAAGCTTGACCACATCTTCATCCATGACCTCCCATTCATGCAAAGTCAATTAAATAAAAAACATGAGAAAAAAGATAGAACAGAGAAAGGAGAAGAGGTAGAAGAAGAAGAGAAGAAGTTTAGGAGGAATTAGTTTGGATTAATCATAATGCTTATCATTACATTTTTTCTCTTAACCATTATAGCCCTGTTACATCCACTACTGGAACACAATCTGTTTAACTAAAATACCCACGTCGTCACTACTTTGTTGGTTGTTTAATTCCATATCGCCAAAATTATCAGTCACCGAAGATGTTGCTATCTCCTTGATCTGGGCTGCCTGCCCCATTTGTTTACATAGGTCTTCACCTTCGCTAGGTTCAGCTCAGACCCCTGACATTTGAGTTAGGGTTTGAAATCTTATTGAATTTAAATTGGGCTAAGGTTGCGTTGGAAAGGGTGAGGTTGAGGGAGATGATGGCGAGGGTGGGTAGTCAGCAGAGTGGCGTGGGGTCTAGTGAAAGCAATATAAGGAGAGTGATCAGGATGGTAGAGAGGAGAATAAGCGAGAGCATGAGGTGTGAGGGGGGTGTGGAGTGAAAGAGGTGGGTTATAAGTTAATTACCCATTTATGGTTAGTCTAAACCCAACCATGGTTTACGGTTTTAAAGGTTGGCTTAACAGAAGACTAATATCAACATATTAAGATGATTTGGAAGAAATACAGTGATTTGGGGGACTAATATCAAAATACTAATGATATAAGGGACCAATATAGGAAAAACCCTTTGAAATTAATCCTGCCAATCAAGAATAGAAGTAGCAATTAGAGGGATTAATTTGAAACAAACTAATAAGAATTGAGGGACATAATAGTAATATGAATCATTTGAGAGACTAATTTCAAAACTACTTAGGATTTGAGCATAGCAACTTCAACGATTTGACAGACTAATTAGAAAATAAGAAGGATGTAAGGGACCAATATCAGAGAAAACCCTAATCATAAAAGTAATACTTCAAAGAAAATGTTGTTACCTTTAGCCGGACTGGTTTAACAAAAGAAGGACGTACTGGAAGACCATAGACCTTAATTTGGGGAGGCTGCAATCCAGCTTTTAATGCTCTTTTTGCAACCTCATTAGAAGGGCAATAACATCTTGTAACTAGTTTGTGGAACCTGAGGAGAACAATAATTATCAGACTACATCCAGTCTTCGAGAAAACCAACGTGAGGTACCCAAATATATGTGACATATGATACATTTAATTAAATTTCAATAAAAAGCATGGGTATTGAATACAGTGGTAAAGGAAGGAGTAACCCAGGAAGAAACAAAAAGATACAACTGCTTGTACAAACTTAAGTTTGGGGTTCCTGAAACACCAAAGCAGAAGGGTGGTTAAGTGACATTTTATTTCTTTATCTTCTTCAGTTTTTTTTTTTTTTTTTTTTTTTT